AACAATACATTAAAAAAATCACTCACCACGATCAAGTGGAATTTGTTCCCAGGATGCAAGGGTGGTTAAATACTCACAAATCAATGTGGTAAATAACATCAACAAGAGAAAGGATGAAAACCATATAACCATTTCAATTGATGCAGAAAAAGTATTTGACAGAGAACAACATCCACTCATGATGAAAATCCTCAACAAAGTAGGTTTAGAGGGAACATACCTCAACATAATGAAGGCCATATATGAAAAACCGACAGCTAACATCATCCTTAATGGTGAAAACCTGAGAGCTTTTCCCCTAAGGTCAGGAACAAGACAAGGATGTCCACTCTCATTAAACTTTTATTCATCATAGAACTGGAAATCCTAGCCACAGTAACCAGACAAGACAAAGGAATAAAATGCATCTAAATTGGTAAGGAAGAAATAAAAGTTTCACTATTTGCAGAAGACATGATATTACATATAGAACACCCTAAAAACTCTAACAAAAAAGGTACCAGAACCTGATAAATGAATTCAATAAGGTCACAAGATGCAAAAATCAATACACAGAAATTTCTATACCCTAATAATGAAGTAGCAGAAAGACAAATTAATAATCCCATTTACAATATCACCAAAAAAAATAAAATACCTAGAATATATTTAACCAAAAAGGTAAAAGACCTGTACTGTGAAAACTATAAGACCCTAATAAAAGACACTGAAGATGATTCAAACAAATGGAAAGATATTCCATGCTCATGGACTGGAAAAACAAATATTGTTAAAATGTCCATACTACTTAAAGTAACCTACAGACTTAATGCAATCCTTATCAAAATACCAACAGCATTTTCCATAGAACTAGAACAAAAAATCCTAAAACTTACAGGGAACCACAAAAGACCCCGAAGAGCCAAAGCAATCTTGAAAAAGAAGAACAAAGCTGAAGGTATCACAATCCAGATTTCAAGAAATACTACAAAGCTGTAGTAATCAGTATGGTACTGGCACAATAGACACATAGATCAATGGGACAGAATAAAGAGCCCAAAAATAAACTCAGGATTAAATGGTCAATTAATCTTTGACAAAGGAGGCAAAAATATGCAATGAGAAAAAGTCTCCTCAGCAAATGGTGTTGGGAAAACTCGACAGCTCGATGCAAAAGAATGAAACTTTCTTACACCATACACAAAATAAACTCAAAATGGACTAAGGACCTAAATGTGACACCTGAAACCATAAAAATTTTAGAAGAGAACACAGACAGTAATGTCTCTGACACTGGCTGTAACCACATTTAAAAAAAAAAAAAATTTTTTTTTACATTTATTTTTGAGAAACAGAGTGAGACAGTGTGAGTGGCGGGGGGGCCCGGCCCCCCCCCCCAGAGAGAGAAAGAGACACAGAATCCGAAGCAGGCTCCAGGCTCTGAGCAAGCAGTCAGCACAGAGCCTGATGTGGGGCTCGAACCCACAAACTGTGAGATCATGACCTGAGCCGAAGTCGGATGCACAACCAACTGAGCCACCCAGGTGCCCCTCTAACCATAACCACATTTTTCTAGATAGATCTCCTGAGGCAAGGGAAACAAAAGCAAACAAACTATTGGGACTACAACAAAATAAAAACCTTCTGCACAGTATAGGAAACAACCAACAAAACTAGGCTAACTGAATGGGAACAGACATTGTAAATGACATATTACATATTACTTAAAGGGTTAGTATCCAAAATACATAAAGAATTTACACAACCCAACATGAGAAAAGCAAATAATCCAATTACAAAATGAGCAGAAGACCTGAACGGACATTTCTCTAACGAAAACATAAGATGGACAACAGACACATGAAAAGATGCTCAACATCATTCATCATCAGGGAAATGCAAATCAAAACCACAGTCAGATATCACCTCCCATCAAATTGCAAAGAATGGCTAAAATAAAAAACACAAGAAACAACAAGAGTTGGCAAGGATGTGGAGAGAAAGGAACCCTCTTGCACTGTTGGTAGGAATGCAAACTAATATGGCCACTGTGAAAACAGTATGGAGGTTCCTCAAAATATTAAAAATAGAACTACCATATGATCCAGTAATTCCACTACTGGATATTTACCTCCAAAGTACAAAAACACTAATTTGAAAAGATACATGTGCCCCTATGTTTACTGCAGCATTATTTACAATAGCCAAATTACAGAAGCAGCCCAAGTTGCATAGATAGATAGATGATGGATAAAGATGTGGTGTATGTATACAATGGACTATTACTCAGCCATAAAAAGGAGTGAAATCTTGCCATTTGCGACTACACAGATGAATCAAGGGAGTATAAATCTAAGTAAAATAAGTCAAAGAAAAATAGCATGGTTTTACTCATGTGGAATTAATCAACAAAGAAAAAAGAGACAAACCAAAAAGACTCTTGACTACAGAGAAGTGACAGTTACCAGAGGGGAGGTGGGTGGGAGGATGGGTGAAACAGGTGAGGGTGAAGCTTATTGTGATGAGAACTGAATTACAGAACTGTCGAATCACCCTACTGTATGCCTGAAACAGAACATTATGTTAACTATAGTGAAGTCAGAATTTCACAATTTTTAAAAAAAGTTGTATAGAATACTTGAGGTATTTGTTGAATTTTTGAAAAGAGGCTCCTATGATTGGAAGACTGGTGACAGAATGAATAGGCTCACAATTCAAGACAGAGAGACTTGGACTTTGTTTTTAATCTATTATTTATTTTAAAAAATTTTTTTAGAAGTTCCTGGGTGGCTCAGTCAGTTGAGCATCCGACTCTTGATTTTGGATGAGGTCACGATCCCAGGGGATTGAAACCTGCGTTGGCCTCTGTGCTGCCGTGCTGGGTGCAGAACCTGCTTGATTCTCTCTCCCCATTTGTCCCTCTCCCCTGCTCACGTATGCTCTCTCTAAAATTAAAAAAATAAAAGTAATCTCTAAAACCCCACGTGGGGCTCAAACTTAAGACACTGAGATTAAGAGTTGCATGTTCTAACAACTGAGCCAGCCAAGTGCCCCCATCTTTGGCAATTTTTAAATGCTATTTTTCATTGTCTTTTTGTGGTTATGTGGTGGTGAATCTGTGGGTTTACAACACTGCTAGTAATATTTAGTTTAAAAGTTAGAATGGCATAGGACCTGCTTTGGGTGAACTCGAGCCTTTATTCAGGCTCCATACTCTTCCCTGTCTGCTGCTTGCAAATCTGTCCCAACATAAATTTATAGGGAACAATTTGAGCACGATGTGAACTTTGTGTTTAAGGGGCAATTTTGCCTGCAAGAAAAACTTAAGTGAACGCAGAAAACTGCATCATCTGAACCTTCATGCTGGTGCTGAGCCACACCTTTCCATCCATCTACACCTGGTATTACACCTTCCCCTCTAATTCCACACAACCCTTCTTCCAACACGGCACAGTATTTCTCACCAAGCAGCAACCCTTCCGATGCCCATTTCCAATGCAAACTTCTACTCTTTCTTCTTTAGGGTAAAGTGCCATTTATTTTATAGTATTAACCTATTCTTAAATATTTAACATGTTAACACACTGCTGCCTCACTTTAAAAAAATTTTTTTTAATATTTATTTTTGAGACACAAGAGAGAGCGCGAGAGCGAGTGTGGGGGGTGGGGGTGGGGTCGGGGGACTCCAGGCTCCAAGCTGTCAGCACAGAGCCCAATGCGGGGCTTGAACTCACCAACCATGAGGTCATGACCTGAGCTGAAGTTGGACATCCCACCGACTGAGCCATCCAGGTGCTCCCGCCTCACTTTTTAAAATGTGTCACTGATAAGTTTTTCAATGTTATGCCCAAATTCTTGTTTTTCCTCCTTTAAAAGTCCTGTGGTTTTCACCAGCATAGTGCAGGGATTTTTAGGAACTGACTGGAAAAAAGTTTGCTAACAAAACATCAGCATTGATCTTGTACTCCCCGCCGCCGCCCCTGTATTCTTTACTAGCTTGGTAGGACCTCTGAATCAGTTACCATCCTATGTTGGCAGAGGACCATGCTGGCTCTCCACCTTGTTTTGCACTTCTTCATTTTGGTTTGTTCACCGACCCAGCCCCCCAAATCTTTTCATCATCTGTCAAACCTGGGGTCAAAGACCAGGGGACAGGGGCGCATTGTTGGGCTCATTTGTCCTCGGAATGTACCTCCTCTCAAAATGGGAGTCCAGCTGTGACCCACACATACAACACACCATTCTTGATTTGCCCCTCCACTGACCCCAGGGCTGAGGTCTTTTTCGTAAGACAAGACAGAAAAGACAGGCAATCCTCCAGGCTTAAGGGCAGCTGGTTGGCTCATTTACAGACAACTGAGTGAACAGCTTAAGTCAGCTGTGAAAATCTCCCCAGTCAGGAAAGGGAACCCACTTTGTGTGCAGCCAGTGACTTGCGGCTCGCCAACATTTCATTTTTGTTTGAAAGGAACTTTGCTTTCATTAAAAGAACCAGATTTCTGTGAGAGCCAAACTATATACTACTCGGTTTGAAGGTGTCACTATCAAGGTTAATTACTGTGAAACCAGGTGTGTCATAACTTGAGTCTGAATCTTGGCCACTTGCTTGCTACATCCCAGTATTCATAGTGCACGGTATACTGAATAGCTGTAGAATGGTAATGAAGTAATTTTCTTTTTTCCCCCCTCTTCCATGGCCAGCATTCCTGATCTGATCTGGGAGATGACCTTTGATAGGTTGGCCATTAGGAATAGAAGGAATAGAAGATGCTAAAAAACAAACAAAAAAACAAACCCCCAAAGCAAAAACAAACCCCCAAAAAACAAAACAAAACAAAAAAATGGGGGAGGGGCAGCACCTGGGTGGCTCAGGTCATGATCTTGCAGTTCACGGGGTCGGGCTCTGTGCTGACAGCTCAGAGACTGAAGCCTGCTTCGGATTCTGTGTCTTCCTCTCTCTCTGCCCCTCCCCTGCTTGTGCTCTCTCAACAATAAATGTAAAAAAAAAAAAAGAAAGAAAATGCCAAATTTACATCACTGTATATGTACACACACAGAACAAAGGTATGAGAGCACATTTTTCTTCTGAAGCTCACTAATCTTACACAGATATCACCAAACCCATATTCCATCTATCAAAGGGAAGCATCAAAAACGACACATTTTATGGGTGTTCCAATCCCAGAATGTGCTGGGCAGAAGGGAAATGGGTTTGGACTCATGTAAATCATTACTCAGGAAAAAGAATTCAAATTCAAGTCCAAATTAAAGTAAAATGGGAGGGATCTGAGTATTCAGCACAAGTTTCCCTGTATAGTCTCTTTGAAGATTATTTTACACATTTATTATGTACTCGGTCACGTCTGGAGGAAACGGACATGCTCAGATGGTTTCATATGTGAGAAGCATCTGAGCTAACCAAAAGGATAAAGGAAACAAGCTAAATGGGCAGAGGAATCAATCGCTCCACCAGGGATGTGACCAGTAAAACAACTCACAGCATTCCAAAAAGTCACATGTCTTTAATGATGAAAGCGTTATAGTCCACTCTCTCCACCCTGCCTTACCAAGAATTAGGTCACTAGCATGGAATTGAGACCATGGATAGAATACCTGTATCAGATGAGTTTGTTTTGAAAGAAGCCACACTGCCAGGCTTGATCTGCCTTAGTTTCAGCCTCTCTTGTAGGGGCTGTAGTACAGTTAAAAGGTGGCTCAAACAACAGCAAAAGCAGCAAAACCTCTTGAAACCTTTTGGAAAAAAGTCACAAAGTTCTTGGCAGACTTTAGGGAGCAGCAGGCAGTCTACTCTAGAATTAATATCTTGGGCTTGAAATTAATTTCACATCAAAATTAAATCAGATGGGACTTTTGAAAGTGTTAAGCAGCAAATACCATTTAAATGAACTGAAACATGTTTAAAAAAATAGTATTAAAAAGGTCAAAAACTTAGAAGATTCACATTATCATTTGAACGATTTCTCAGCCCAGTGTTTCTAAATCAAGTAGTCGGCACCCATCCCATTAACCCCTGTGCCACGTGGGACATTAATGTGATACTCCTGGCTGAATATTGCCTGGAGTAGGTGACATCATAGCCCACAGGGAGTTAAAAGATGGTACACATAGGGGCACCTGGGTGGCTCAGTCATGATCCTGCGGTTCAGGAGTTTGAGCCCCGCATTGGGTTCTGTGCTGATAGCTCAGAGCCTGGAGCCTGCTTTGGATCTGTCTTCTCTCTCTCTGTCCTTCCCCCACTTGCACACTCTCTCTCAAAAATAAAAATTAACATTAAAAAAAATTAACGATGGTAGATATAAACAATGGAAAAAACTAAGCAACTTGCATGGTCACAACCTGGGCTACTTACTACTTTTTTCTTTTTAACTATGTGCTTTCAAATGAGAAGAAAAGGCTGTCCCCTTCAGTATCCTGCAGGTGTCAGTGGAGGACGACATATTTCCAGGAACATTCAAATGGATAGGTCTATGTGAGCTTCAGAGTAACCAACTGGTGATAGCTATTAAAACGAAGACTCTGAATTAAAGCAACTTACCAGGGTCACACAGCAAGTAGCAGAACTCATATTCAACCTAGACTGGCTGAGTTTAGGCCACTGTGTCCCCTGTCTTCCTCCCACCCCCAAAACTATCTTATCAGCTAGCTCTGTGGTGAAACACATTTACTTGAAACTGATCACATACGCTCATAATCATGGCTTTAAAAATTCACATACGCATTCTTCTTTCAATGAAAATGTGTTCATAAATAACAAATAGTAGTTACCGGTATTCCTTTTTTCAGTTGTGCCATAGGACAAATGAGTTGAGGCACTTGTGATGGCCCATAAAGTCTAAAGAAAAGCACAAAACTTATAAAACAAAGGAAAAATGTCCCAGAAGAGAACATTGTAAGAAAATGCTTAGTAGTCATCATGATGATGAATCCTTGGTAGTATGCACATCATAAAAGGAAGAACTCTGGAACACGCTATTTTTTGATAAAGTCCTTTTAATGGAAAATGTAAAACCCCTTTCAACTTTAATGTACAAAGCCATATGTAACACTTGCACTTTTAACAAATAAAAGCAAGCCAATGTTTTAAAAAAATACATCATTAAATGTATATATGTATATATTTACATAGCATATTAAGTTTAATATTTAGCTTTAAAAGTTCACATAAATTTTACCAAAATGAGACAATTTTAAATAAATTACACCTTTTGAAAATGTTAAATTGTACAGTCAATAGCTTCAACAAAATATTGAAGTGTCCGTATTTAGTATCTACTTTATATACTTCATATTTTACAAATTTTACAATTATTTGGCAGTAATTTCTGATTATGACATGAATGCTGTGCGATTCAGCAATTTCCCAAATGCAGGCAATAGCTGGTGTTTGTGTCCTATTCTCACAGTAACTGTCTCAATGTAGTGAAAAATATCCGTTATTTTAGTAAACTGTACAAGGTCACATTTACACTTGACCAACAATATAGCGTAGAATTTTGTGGGTTTTTTTTGTCAAAAATAAATACATCATTTTAAATCTGGCATTTTCACAAACATCATATACACTATAATACAAAAACAGCTATGAAGTGCTGCTTTTTAAATTTAGCTTGTTTTCATAACTAACATTGCATCACAGGAACTGTGACTTATGCTATACTGCTGCGGTATCAGTAACAAGTAATTGCTACAAAAGAGAATTTCTTGGCACTGATGGTTTTATGAAGCTTAAGTCAATGTGCATACTTATCATCATTCGAAAGTAATTACAGTTCAATGGCCTAAAAGTATCAAACTGGACCACACCTAATTTTCTTCCATATCCTCTACTTCGTCTTCATGTATCTTCAAAGCTCTCACCATTTCCTTAACTGCATGATACAATATATTTTTAACCTGAAAGAGATTTTGATATTTCTAATCACTTAAGCTGGAGATAAATTAAAGCTTTTTTTTTCTTAATGAGGGAAAGATACACTCAAAATAAAATAAAGGTCAAAGTTAAAAAAATGTTAAACTGAAAGTTAAAATAAGGGCCACTGAAAATCATACAGTTAAATGCATACTGTTATTAAGCTGTGGTTGTTATCCTAATGTGACAAACAAGGACAATGATTGCCTAAGCGGTTATGCATGTATCGTATTTCTGAATATAAAAGGCACATAAGAATAGGAGTCAGTTAGAAAATTCATCTCCTACCTGTAGTTTATCATCGTAATTGATTTCCTCCTTCAAAAGTCTCAGTTCCTGTGTTAAATGAAATGACTGTACAAGATGTTCTGGAGACACAAAGTCTTCAGTTACCTGAATACAGCTGTGAAAATTCTGTACCTATCCCCGAAACAAAACAGTAAAATAAACATTTTAGGAGGCAGGAATACCAGAGAACTTATTTTCTCCTGAACATCAAATGCATTTCAAAGCAGAACACCACGCTTTTATGAGAGTTCTATCACTGAAAAGCTTTCATGTGGAAGGACTGTGTAAATGTAGTATTTTTAAATGATGAAAAGAACTTTTCCAGAAATCCTTCAGAGAGGCTAATAATCAGATTCTAAATTACCAATTTGGTCATGGTGGATTTCTTGGTGTTACTTTAAAAAAAAAAAAAAAAGAGCGCAGCTGATAGGATCTGCTTCCCTGTTCGGTGCAAACAATCTGATGTCGCTCCTCTGGCTTTCAGCATCTGGGTCATTTCACTGTTAATTTTTAGACCAGAGAGTGGGTTAAAGCATAAGAAATGAAATTTAGTTTGTGAAAAACTGGGAAGAAATCAAGTTCTAGACAGATCTATTGCTCATGACAGTTTTAGAATTATCCTAGGATTTTATTTTTGCTTTTCAAATTAAACAACTAAAGATACATTCAGTCTCTAGTGGCGATATTACTACAACTGATGTCTCCCCTGACTAAAATGGTTTTCACAAAAAGCCAATTTTATGTTATTTATACACCATGTACAAACTGACTTGGTACTTCACTATTTCTTGGAATTGTTTTTTTTTTATTAATGCTTAGTGTAATGACAGAGAGAGAACAAAGCTGATCCAGTCCAGATTTTTGTGATGTTCTAGGTCTTACAGTGATATTTAAAGACATCATAAAATTCCTGGGAAAGGAGAAATAACTGAAAACTAAACATTTAAACTAATTCTAATTTTTAAAAGATGAAAGTAAGTCTAATTGGGAGGTGTGAAAAGTGAGATAGTAAGTGGGGATAGAGAACTGTGAAAAAATGTGATAGAGTGATGGATTCCAAAAGTGCTGGAATTTCTCCTCTGGGAATAATGTCCACCTGCTCAAGTCTGCAGAGTTCTTTAAGTCAAGCACTGTGCCTCTACTGATAACTTGGTAGCACATATAAACATTCTCTTCCGTTAGTCACTAGGTTGTTGGTTCTTCTGTAGGACGAACACAGTGATGCCTCACATTTTCAGCACTGCTATATAGTCTCGCTGGATCTTCACCATGTGTCTCTAGAACAGATGCTCTATTTCACAGAACAGGAAATGATGGATAAGAAGTTCAGTGCCTGTTCCAAGATAAATCAGCCAACAAATGGCAAGCCAACAGGAACCCAGCTCCTGTAACATTTTGTCTAACAGATGCTTTATAGTCCTATATTAACTCAGTCCTGTATTAACTCAGTCCAGCATACACTCTCCAAATGTCCTTTCACTTATCTGAATGTACTGTGGGGATTAAGCCTTCAAAAGTTCTGCCGTGTACCTTTTAGCATGTCTGCACCTACTTATAATTTTTCTCTTCATTGATATTCTAATTTTGTTCATACATCATCTTCCTGATTTTCTTTACCAGAGTCCTTTAGCTCTTTGAGTACACTTATGACACATGACTTAAAGTCTATGTCTAGTAAGTCCAATGTCTGGGCTTCCTTGAGGAGGGACAATTTATGTCGATTGTTCTTCCCCTATTATTAGGCATTACTTTATGGTTTCTGTTTATGCCTTGTAACTTTTTTCCTGAAAAATGGACACCTGAACATTATAATGTGGTTACTGGAAGTCAGATTCTCCCTGTGCCTTAGGGTTTGCTGCTGACTGCTGAAGGCTGGAGTCATCTATATTTTTTGTGACTTTTCAACACTATTTCCGTTAAGACTGTATTATTCCTTGTTGGGTGTGATCACTGAAGTCGCTGTTCCATTATCTGTGGTCAGGCAGTGACCTGCCAGAGATTTTCTAAATGCCCCAAATCAGCTGTCCTTTTCTTTACTGAGCAGTCCCCTGGTTGATGTAAATTTGGATTAAATTCCAGAGTTCTGAATAAGTTGATTCTGTTGGTTTTACCAGTTTATGGTTGTTTTAAAATCATTTTTAGGACCATGACATTTATTATTGCTTATAAATACTATTATGTTTTCTGGGCTCCTGGGTAGCTCAGTCGGTTAAGGATCTGATTTCGGCTTGGGTCATGATCTCACAGTTCGTGAGTTAGAGCCCCACATCTCTGATAGCAAAGAACCTGCTTGGGATTCTGTCTCCCTCTCTTTGCCCCTCCCCTACTCGTGTTCACTCACTCTCTCAAAAAATAAACTAAAAAAAAAATGCTGTTATGTTTTCTAATGACCTCAACCTGATACATTTTACATAAAGGCTTACAGTTAGTGTGAAGAGTCAAGAACACATTTGAACTCTTCGTTCCACTTATTAATTCTGGGCCATCTTTGAGTCAAATTTCTCACCTTCTTGACAAACTGTCTTATTCATACTTGCCTTCAGGACCAATTATAATCATAAACAGGTAATGTTTATGTAACTCTTTGTGTTCACAGGTTATTATCTTGCCACTGATTGCCATATACACAAGTGATTTGTGAGAACTTCAGAGTGAAAGATTTCGCCAAAGTCTTTTTAGCATTATGAATGCAGAGAATTCACAAGTAGCAATATTATAAACTCACTATAAATGGCCAAACACAATCAATGAAGACAAATAGTTAAGGACAAATTTATCACTGAAGATTTTGTGACTTTTTTAATAAAGTTTTTTTTTATTTTGAGAGAGAAAGTGAGTGCACATGTATGAGCAGCGGAGGGGCAGAGAGAGGGAGAAAGAGAAGGGAGAGAGAATCCTAAGCAGACAGAGCCCCACATAAGGCTTGATCTCAAGAACTGTAAGATCATGACCTGAACTGAAATCAAGAGTCAGATACTTAACCAACTGAGCCACCCAACACCCCTGTGGCTTTAAAAAAGGAAAAAAAAAAGGGGGTTTCTTTTAAAATAAAGGCCACGATGAACATCAGGGTACTATAGCTAAGACCAAGGAAATCCTGGAGGTGAAGGTCCACGTGCCCCATCTAATGATATATCAGACTTTCACAGATTCAGTCATGTTTGCCAGTGAAGATAAGCCGGCAACTAACTGAAGAGGGAAGTTCTTTTTTTTTTTTTTTTAATTTTTTTAAATTTATTGATTTTTGAGAAACAAAGTGAGACAAAGTGTGAGCAGGGGAGGGGCAGAGAGAGAAGGAGAGGGGCAGAGAGAGAAAGAGACACAGAATCTGAAACAGGTTCCAGGCTCTGAGCAAGCGGTCAGCACAGAGCCTGATGCAGGGCTCGAACCCACAAACTGTGAGATCATGACCTGAACTGGAGTCGGGTGCTCAACCAACTGAGCCACCAGGTGCCCTGAGTAGTTAATACATATGGAGAGTTGTGGCAATGATACTTTTCCTCAGCTAGGCCTCTCAAAGTGCTCACTGATGACAAACCAAAGAATACAATGGATCATTTGGTCAAAGCCATGTTTTGATAGATGCCCTGGATTTGCAAGGGCTTCTTATCTGCCTGGTTTTCGAGGCGTGGTCCTCAGACAGTACCATCAGCATCACCTGGGAACTCGTTAGAAATGCAAAATTTCAGGTCCCCCCTTGGACCCACTGAATCAGAAATTCTAGGGGTGGGGTCTAGCAATCTGTGTTTGATTAAGCCCTTGAGGAAATTCTGATGTATTTTTAAAGCACAAGAACCACTAATTAGAGTTTGGGTTTATTTTAAGGGCTACCTGTAGTCTGTTGGAAGTGAAGTCATCAACGAAAAGTTTTCAGGACCTCTAAGGACTAAATGAGTTGTAAATGGTAATACATCTCAAATCCAAGTTAATATGGTGAACGTTTTTTTTTTCCTTTTAA